TACTCCTCTTAAACCAGGAGCTCTGATCCTCCTCTTAAACGAGGAGCTCTGATACTCCTCTTAAACGAGGAGCCCTGATACTCCCCTTAAACGAGGAGCTCTGATACTCCTCTTAAACCAGGAGCTCCGATACTCCTTTTAAACGAGGAGCCCTGATACTCCTCTTAAACGAGGAGCTCTGATACTCCTCTTAAACGAGGTGTCCCGCTGTGCAGAGCTCTTTCTGGGCTGAGGGGTGGCATCAACGGTGGCGGTGTGGAGACGTCTGTGGTGGACACTCCCCGACGCACCGGACGGGGACAGGGCTGACTCCCTGGAGGAACGGGTGATGGCTGGTGGGCTACTTGGACCGTCTCAATGCAGATAAATGCTTCTTTAATAAAAAGCCATCTTTAATGTCCGTTACATGTTACCTGATGATGCGTAACGTTGGTGTAAAACAGTTATGCTGGTTATGAACAGAGGAACTCACAACATGAGAGTAAAAAGTTTCTTCTCTGCTCGTTTCTGCCAGCAGACCCCTTCAGACTGGATTCAAAACTCATTGCACTCTCCACAACCTACACAATCTCTACAAGCATGGACGGATCACAGAGAATTTGGGAAGCCTTCAGTGTGAAGACAATCACGACACTGGTCCACTCTTAGTACTTGACAAATACTGGTTTCTGGCTACTTTCCACGTCCCCAAGACAGGATGTCGAGATGGTCAGGTGTGACGAGGTCACAGTCTGGAGTTAAGGCCAGCATGGCCACTTCTGCTTCACACCATGAAGCCCTAAAGTGTAACGTGGAGCCTGCTGCCCCTGAGGACCTCACCCAACAAAAACCGCCCACATTCTGTTTGAGTTCTTACATAGTAGCAAGGCTGTCCTCCAGGTAAACCTTCTCAAACCGTTTAAGGTCCTACCCAAAGATTAGAAGATTCTTTTCAACCCGGAAACACTCAGCGCGGAGGTACCGCCTGCTGCGTTCGCCCAGGCGACGGGTCCTGCAGGGTCTCTCCTCAGAGTCGCTGTCCAGCTCCGAGAACTCCATCAGCTCGTCGTCCTCGAAGGAGTTGTAGTGACGGGTCTGTTTCCTGACCCGGGGCGTGTCGATCACCAGGGACTCCTGAATCAAAGAGAGCCGAGGAGTTCAGACAAAAAGAAACACAGACGCTTTTTAGAGAAGGAAAAACGGACGAAAGTAGAAACGTAGACCGTTTTAAAGATTCAGAGCACAAAGACAGGAAGGAGAAACAAGTTCATGTCTTTTGAGTCTAACCCCTCTGCTCCACCAAGTCCTTTTGTTTCTACAGTTTCTCCCAACAGCATAACATCCATCTTCAGTCTCTTTTACTTCTTTATCCTTTTATTCCGTATTTCATCTTCACCTTCTCTGATCTGGAGTCGATCTCCACTTCAGCGATCTTGGCCCATTTCTGCCAGAAGTTTGGGTCGTCCAGTGAGATGTCCGTTCTGTTGCCGGACGAGACGAAGCTGGCCTGAACAGACGCAACAAAGAATTGAAAAAGGCAAAGTCGGTCGTGTTTTCAGCCAAGACGTTGAAGACGTTTAAGGGTTCCCACCTTAGCAAACGTGGACCCCTTCCCCTCAGACTGGATGGTGATGGTCTGAGTGCGTCTCTGAAGTATCTGATCGATGTCTTCCTCGCAGAACTTGGAGCCCTCGTCTTCTTCGTCCATCAGAGCTCCGTACGCTCCCTTTTTCAACAAATCCTCCACTTCTAGTTTGGAGAGCTGCTGCACCTTCAGCACGGAAAAAATAATTCAACGTTATATTTCAGGTGGAATTCTTTGAAACTGTGGTAGCATGGACAAGCTGAAGGTTTTCACCCCGTTGAGACTCCCTTTGCGGTTGATGTCCTGAAGGACGGCTTTGTCCAACCCGAGCTTCAGACTGGCCTTGTCGAACATTTCCCTCTCGTACGAGTTCCTGGTGATCAGTCTGTAGACTTTCACCGCCTTGCTCTGACCGATCCGATGGCAGCGAGCCTGCGCCTGCAGCGGGAAACACACAGAACATTGTCTGGGCAAGACAACCTCGTTTGCTTGTTAGCAAAATATTTCAAACCACTGGATGGTTTTTAATGAAACTCTTGGAAAGTGTGTACGTTTAAAACTATTTACTTTATAGCCAGTCCAGTTAAACTCCACAAACAAACATTCTGTCAACAGAGGTGAGTTTGTAGAGGCGTTCAGGCGTGAACACAATATTTTATTTAAACAGTTCAAAGCAGGAGCCCAGCCGAGTCATACCAGAACCGGTCACCCGTTAGTGTCGACACAGAACCATCGGACGATGTTCTGGTCTTGGTTCTGCCCACCTGCAGGTCATTCTGAGGGTTCCAGTCCGAGTCGAAGATGATGCAGGTGTCGGCGGCCGTCAGGTTGATTCCCAGTCCTCCGGCTCTGGTGCACAGCAGGAACACGAAGCGGTCCGAGTCCGGCTTACAGAAGCGGTCGATGGCCGCCTGCCGCAGGTTCCCTCGCACGCGTCCGTCGATGCGTTCGTACGTGTATCTGCAAAAACAAACAGTTTGAAGGTTTCTGCCACAAGCGTTTACTCGAAACGTTACCAGCTTGTGCTGCTCTGACTGACGCCGCGCACCGTCGCTGTATGAGGTAGTCCTCCAGGATATCCAGGCAGCGGACCATCTGGGAGAAGACCAGAACCTTGTGCCCCCCAGCCAGAAGTTTGGGCAGCAGCTTGTCGATCAGAACCAGCTTACCAGCTGCCTGGATCATGGCCTGCAGCTGGAAGTCGGCTGCGTCCGGACTGTGGCTCTTCTTGAAGCTTTCCAGGATCTTCTCCTCCGCTCCTGAGCGAACACACAAAACACGAGTACCGCACACGGCACACAACACGCCCGCCGACAAACTATTATACAATCTGAAGAAAATGGTTTGTGACCTTGACCTTAGAGCCGGGGTGATGAAAACGTTACGTGACACGCCGTCTAGTCGCGGTGCAAATTCCTACTGTCTCATCAAATTATCTTGAGCCAATTAGAAGTTGTGATACGGACACGCAAAGACCTTATATAAAAGATGACCTTGATTTGTGACCTTGTGACCAACACTCCATCTAGTGATGACTGATTAGTGTATGAAGTTTTGTGCAATTACTTGAAGTAAATGAGAAGTTATGGGCGGGACAAGAGAAAGTTTTTGTACGTACAGACGGAGACTGAGCTGTAACACGTCTGCCTTTTGACCGACGTATAAGAAGTGTGTTTTTATTTACTCGTTATTATTTACGATCAGCAGCCGATCCTAAGGGTGACAGCGTGTTAGAACCTGGTAAAGATCAGGGTAAGTGTTTGGCTCTGACCGGTGATCAGGTAGGGGTGGTTGCAGCACTTGCGGAGCTCCATCATGGTGTTGATGAGGTTGGGCATGTTGTGCTGGTTCGCTCCTTTCGACAGGAACGAGAAGTTTTTCTCCAAGATGGCTCGGTAGTATTTTTTCTGGATGTTTGTCAGCTCCACCTAAACAAACACAAAAAGAGGAAAGGCATCTGGTAAAAACATGTTTCTGTATTTGATTTTACTGCAGACCAGGTAAACATGTTCGTGTTTGATCGTCTAGACGTTCATTTAAAGTGCATCCATCATCTTCAGAGAATCAACTGGCCTCCTGTAAAAATCCTTAGGACATGTTGGGAGGATTGGTGCACTGACCAGAGGAGAAGACTGGCTCCTTTACCATCCCTGCCATCATTACCCAACTCCAGATTAGCTCATGATATCCTGACTCACCTCCCAAAGCAAGTGCATCAAAAGGTGCAACACAGACCTTAAAACCTGAGGAGAAGCAGCTAAAATCAGGATTATCTGGAGAAACTGCGTCCGTGAAGGTGCTGCACTGTATGATGCTGATCTCCGAGATGCATCAGACAGAAAGGAGAGCACATCCACCAAACAGTCCCCATCCATGCAAACCACCACAAACCCTTTGAACAAACATGACTGGGTCCAGGATTGGCCTCCATGCCCATGTGAGGACCCATAAGGACCGGTGTGAAGGACAGTCATACTCGTTCACGAGCGACCGTACATATAAATGTCAGAATATCAAGTTAACAAAGTGTTCTTATTACTCCAGCTAGCTCTACAGTTCCTCGTTCCAACTTTTTCAGACCTTTTCTTTTTTCCAATTCATCCTGAGGGATCAGAGTTCAACCAGGCAGATTAGACTAAATGCAGGTTTGACATGAAAACTTCCATCAGACCTCCTCCTGAGCTGGTCTGGACCTCTTTCATCTGCAACCATCTAACAGTCTGAACACGATCCGTCCTGCTGACCTGACGTGACCCCACACGCTCCGAGAGTTGTTACCTGGACGTCTCGGTTGAAAAGTAAAAAGACAAAATATTCTAGATTTAATGAATCTTTTATCTGAATCCTTTATAATGAAAATGTTCATCCAGGTTATTTTTCATTTTATAATCCCAGTTAGTAAAAATGATGTGATGAAGCCAACGGACCGTGTCAGGGTTTTAGGCACTAATCCCTGTAGCTTTCCTTCTTTTATAGCGTGACTTTTTATTAACTGAACACTCTCGATCACAGCCGACCACGTTTAATAAAGTCGCCTGAGACAGACGTTTAACGTGAGGTCTGAACAGGCTCGTTCGTGCGTCGCAGCTTGAAATCCAGATATAAATGTATTTTGACAAAGAAGACACCATCTTCTTCTTCTAGCCGCTTTCTTCAGAGCCTCCATCCCCCCACCCGCCCTCCGTCACACCGACCCCCTGCAGATCCTTCTTCTCTACCTCCATGAAACTTCACGGTGGTCTTCCTCTTGTCCTGTCCACTGTCCCTCCTCAGCACATGTTCCTAACTTTGTCTCCAAGCCTGAGATGTCCCTCTCATAGACACCTTTATAACTCCGCCCATTTTGGACAGATCAATAACGTTTTATATGTTTCTCACACAACCTCACCTCTATGATGGTCTCCTCTTTAGGTGCCAGGTTTTTTTCTACGTCATCTTTTAGTCTCCTCAGCATCATGGGCTTCAGAATCGACTGAAGCTTTTTCACCTGATGGAGAGACGAGAAGAGTTGATGAGAATAATTAAAGTAAACAACAGTAAAACCATTCGGTTCCTCATGTTTGGTCCATATTTAGACTGACGGGGACCTGAGAGTTAGCATGAAAGCTATATAGTAAAACTACCTGCTCCTCAGTTTTCAGGTCTCCAAACTCCTCCAGGAAGGAGCTCTCCGAGGGAAACTGCTGCGGCTCCAGGAAGTTCAACAAACTGAACAGCTCCTCCACGGAGTTCTGCAGGGGGGTTCCTGTCAGCAGAACCTTGTGTTCCTGTTTGGATGAAGGCAGTGAAGCGTTTCAGAAGGCGAGGCACCAAACAGAACTGAGGGAAGTGGACGAGACGAACTCACCAGGTTCATGAGTTTGAGCCCCTCCAGGAGCTTGCAGTTCCGGTTCTTCAGGCGGTGGGCCTCGTCGATCACAACGCAGCGCCACTGCAGCTTCCTCAGCTCTGGGCAGTCAGCCATGATCATCTCGAAGGTAGTGATGAGTCCGTGAAACTTCAGTCCACCTGGAACCGTGTTACCCTGAGAGAGAAGAGCCCAGATCCTCTGCTGTAAACCAGATTCTTATAAAATGCAAAACGACTGGACACACACAGATCATGAGACCGAACATCTGTAGTTTGATTGACGTTTTCATCCCATTCCTCTCACTCCAACACGTTTCGTCAGGAATATAATCAGCTCACTGATGCAATATGCACACGGATAAGAGGCACAAATTAACAAGAGGAAAGGTGAAAATCTAATTTTTATCCAATATTGAGTCGTGTCCATCTCAAGCTGATGATTTCCAGATCTCATTGTTAATTAATTTATTTATTTATTCTTCTTTCAGCTGCTCCCTTCTTCAGGGGTCACCACAGTGAACTGAGTCGCACAAAGACGTGGCAGGTATTTTTACACCGGATGCCCTTCCTGACAACCACAGACCACCGAGCTACCACAGCCCTGTGTGGAGCAGAGAGCTGCTATCTATGGTGCCAGGGGAGCAGATGGAGGGGGTTAAGGGCCTTGCTCAAGGGCCCAAAGTGAAGCAAATGAGGCTATGAGTCCATACTTATGGCTCAAAAACAAACAACCTGGCTCTATAAATGAACCACTAATTAATTTGTCGTAAAACAAAATATGTTCCCAGGACGTGGGGAACATAAAATATAAAATTTGCTGCCCTGATTTCTAAAATCCAACTTTAAAAAAGTTCTAAATCGTCAAACTTTAGAAGGCGGTAAAACAAAAACCTAAACCTTTGAAGGTTTCTTAAGTTTTCCTATAGATGTGGGTCTGCCTTCCTTTGAACTGCTTCTACATCTGCTCAGTGAGGAACATCACATCACAAATGCTGCTCCTCAACCGGCTGCAGGTCAGGCCCTGCTTGGTTTTCCACAGTTATCGTTTGCTGCAGGTTCACTTGAAAATAAAAATAAAGACTGAACAGAAGAGCAGCTTCCGTTAGAAGCCGTTCCACACGGCAGCGTCTCTGCACAAGGATGTCCAGACTGATGGTTTCAAAAACACAAAGTTTGTTTTCTCAGTCATCCAGGTATATAACAACAAAAAAGGTTG